AGGACGCGAGGCATGACAGCCAGCGAAACGGCAACTTGCGCCCCTGGCGCCGTCTCCGGTTATCAGGAGTGAGTCGGACAGAAACGAGCGAAAGAGACATGACTGCCAGCACGAAGGGCGCGCATGCGCAAAGCGGGGCTTTTTAATGCGGTTGCGAGCCGTTGCACGGCGCGGCGATGCATTTCGGCACGCGCTCCCGTGCCCCGCAAACTTTTGCTCCCGACTGTACACAAATATATCTATCAGTATATAAATATATTTTTTATCAATAAATTTAAAACTGTTTGTACGCTGTTAGGTTCGCGTTTTTAAACTTCAAATTGTTTTACGAAAGAGTTACACATAAAAGACACCCCGAACAGCACATCGTCCGAATTTCAACACACGATGAATCGCCGACGCTCGCAGACGGAAGGTTGCGATGCTGCGCGAACGGTTTCTGAAAGATGCTGGGTAGGGTATACGCCGGGCGCAACGGCTTCGCGACCGTTCGAAGGGCAAATGATTCGGGACAACAAAGTAGGGTCTAGCAGCTTCAGTAAGCTAACGGGGCTCGAGAGTCCCACGCTCACATTTCCGCAGAGCGAGCGCGGCCGGCCAGATCGAGGCGCAGTATATATATATGCTCTCGCGTCACGATAGCTACGTCGTTGCTCTGCCTACCCTGATGACATGTGCACTGGCAGTCGAAGCAACCCTCTCGAGACTTCACTTGAGTTTAATATATGACTTTATATCGCGATATACTCTCGTAAAACTGAGAGTCACTTCGGTTGCGGCGTAAGCGGCGGCTTTATGTTTGTTGACACCTGCGTCGACAATGACTAAATATGCACAGAATCATTAGATATAAAAAATAGAGCACGCAGAAAGAAATACAAACATGACAGGGGCACGAACAAAGAGAAGACGTTAACGCTACGTATATATAAAAAATATAGTGGAAAAGACAAAAATACTTAAATCTAAAAAAAACGGAGTTAAGTTGTCAACGCCGAGGTAAGGCAATGCGAATGGAGAGCAGCCGGCAAAAAAACTGCAATAGTCCTATAGGCAGCTAAGGACGTATTTGTGATCGCGGTTATAAAGCGCCGGCGACGTACGCCCCATGAAGTTGGCTAAATAAAATTCTCGCCCGATCGAGCTCATGAATGACTCTTTTCCAATTTCCTATTTCTGCAATGCAAAAAAGAGGCTCGCGGGTCTATAGCCTAGGCGACGTAAATATCGATAAGCCATTGGTTATGGCAGTACCAATATTGACCAGCCTATACCAAGACATCACCAATATTAGAAAACATATTGGCTCTGAAAGTCCAATATTGTACAGGTTATGCCGGCGTATATCCAATATAGGAAAGCTATTGGCTTTGACAGTCCAATATTGGACAGCTAATGCTGGCATGTATCCTATATTGGAAAGCCATTGGCTCTGACAGTCCAATATTGTACAGTTTATGCCAGCATATATCCAATATTGGAAACCTACCGGCTTTGACAGTCCAATATTGGATAACTTATGCCGGCATATATCCAATATTGGAAAACAATTGACTTTGACAGTCCAATATTGGACAGGTTATGCCAGTATATATCCAATATTGGAAAGCCATTGGCTTTGGCAGTCCAATATTGGATAACTTATGCCAGCATATATCCAAAATTGGAAAACCATTGGCTTTGACAGTCCAATATTGGACAGGTTATGCCAGCATTTATCCAATATTGGCAAGCCATTGGCTTTCACAGTCCAATATTGGACAGCTTATTCCAGTGCATCACCAATATTGGAAAAACATTGGCTATGATAGTCCATTATTGGCCCAGGTAATTCCAATATTGGTAAACACATGGCTCAGTTGGGCCATTGTTGGGCCATTCTTTGTCCCATCAATTCCAATGTTGGCCCAATATCGTGTGCTGTCTGGGTCGCGTCGTAGAACGATCCTTTTGTTCGCGCGTCACCGGCTCAGTAGACCTGGTACACCTTGTCGTCTTCAACTACACCGCTAAAGTCCCTTACATCGTCGGAACTCACAACAGGCTGGGTCTTGTCGGGTAGAAATTCTACTAAAACATAAGTCATTGTAGAACCCTGGCAGGATCGACAGGTTGGAGCAAGCGGGCAAACAAAACGAGTCGAGAGCGATCGTTCATGAAAGCTCGGCGAAGCGGCGAAGCCTCTATGGGCGAAGCGAAGTGTCGTTTTCGGCGCTTCGGCGGGCTTCTGATCAAGGTTGTCGGTCGGTTGCGTGTCAAATATCTAACGTCAGCGGTTTTATGGGCTCACGTCCCGAAATCGTTTTCTCGTGCATAGATTACTTTTCGTATTCATAGATTTGACGAAATAGTGGTGTCCGAACGAACTTTACGTCATTTGACCGTACGTCTGTCTGCACGTCAAAGCTTTTTGACGTACAGTTAGAGACAATCGATGTATGTACAATCAGAATCGCCACCAAGACATCCTGATGGAATTTCGCGGCGGCCGACTGCCACCAGGAAACCATCAGAAAGCCGACAAGCAGAGTCTGACTGGAGTTTGACTGTCGGTCAGAGTAACTTTTTGGCCAATCAGACATGCTTGACGTACAGTCAGGCACAGTCAGCGGTCCACTAGAAAACATTGACTGCCAAACAGGGTTACATTGATGGATTTTTCCTTCGGGATACGATTGACTTGTTCGTAAATCTAAAGTTACGATTCTTTAAACAACTAAAATTGTTTGCAACAGGCTGAAAATTGTTTTATTTGGTTTAGACTAATAGGCAACGGTTCACACATTTTAAAGGATCATTTATTGCACTGTCAAACAACTAATGATAAACGTTCCGAAACGAGGTGGCGCTAGTTACCACTCAATTGAAAAGCACGAGGTGAGATTTTTGTCTAGTATAATCACACTGGGCGCTATCTCTTCATCTACCCATCTCCGCTCGCTCGTTTTGCTGCCGTTACTGCCGCGCTTGTTTTGTCTAGGAGAAGAGGTTCTTGGTGGTTTCTGTGCGAGCTTTCCTTGTTGTTAACAAAACGGTGAGTTTGTTCTGCTCTTTTTATTAACATTGATTGGGGACTGTCATATATTCGTTCGTATTTTTGACACTTATTTCCTTGAAAGAAACGAAACCACGGATTTGCGTCGCTTGAAACTTTAGGGTTCAATGACTGTCGCCGCTATCTTAGTTCGTGTTTGACGTTCTTCTCAGAGTTGAAAGCTCAAGTTGGGTGCTCGTTTGAACCTTGTGTCATGTCGCGAGCTCGCTGGGACGCGCGGTTCGTCGTTTGTAGCGATTGGGAGGCTATTCGCGCGTGCTGGCTGGCAAGAGTTGCAGTAAAGCACGTGACAACGCATCGTCTAAGTGCGTGAGTGCGCTTTACGAGTTTCGCATCGTTGTTCGGGCGCCCTGTAGCCTTCTCATTTCGCCGAGGGGTCCCTATCGTTTCGTCAAAATTCGTTTTGCGGCAGTACGTTTCTTGGACAACTTTTCATGGACACGTTTCGTCGACACGAACGTTTCATCGACACTCTTTACGTGAATTTCATGCTGCAGGGACGTTTCGCCACTCGTGTATCAGTGAAGTGCGCGTAAACCCACACCCCCGCCTGCGTTCACTCCACTTCGGGGCGACAGTCTGCGGCTGCTCGTTACAAGAATGTTAACCCACCTAACCGACCCGTACAGGTCGCTTCGCGGCGACAGTCACATGCAACCTACCCCCCCCCCCCCCCCCCCACAAAAAAAAAAGAAAGGTAATTTGAACTATCGATGAAACGATCTGTCGAGGAAACGTCGTTCGATGAACTGATTCCCATTGGTGTATCACCACTGCGTATTTTCGTTCACTAATTGGTTAGCAGTCATAATGCAGCCGATTAATTTCTCATTTCACAGAACGCACTTGTGTCACCGTACGCTGATTCCCCCCAACCAGATGGTCTAAGACCATCGTATTGATATTCATTTTTATGCTCATAATATTCTATGTGTATATTAAAGCAATATACCTCCACTCAATACTTGCACGGCGCCACTCAGGAAGGCACGTAATACCACTGTTCCACGGACTGCAAAATTGTATGCATTAATCTTGGCTCCTCAGTCAGACTGTTTGTAAGGAACATAGCCACCGTTCCTGCAGTTTCAAATTGTCTGATATGCAAGCTCATATTTTTTTTCAGGAGGCGTCTTCAACGACAATTGCTTCCTTGTCACTGAGCATCGGCCAATGTTTAAAGAACCTATGCCATTCTTGAAGGCGGTGTGAGTCTTGTTTGGAGCTTTTTACGTGTTGAATTTACCTATTCAAAGGAAGCCTTGGCCACTCTCTAGTTTATGCAAATGTGAGAAAATCTTGAAATTCGTCAAGTCCACAGGATGTGTCATAGAATGACATAATCTATATTACCCTATCATTTATCGTGCCGTAGCGCCTTTTTTCACAACTCGCACAAACATTTGAGCTGTACTAAATTTACAAAGAATTACGCTGCTGCATATCTATAATGAATTGATAACGTGGGAACACTGGTTGTCATTAGGCTGTAACATTCAAGGCAGGGAAGCATGGTCATCTTGTATAGACCAGCACGCGGCCCTGACTTCACGCAGCTGCGGTGGCGCTGTCGGCCGCACAGCGCAGACGCTTCACTTTACGCGAATTTGGTTTTTGCGCACGCACAGTGCTCACACCTGGTGTGGGCAAACGCGGGCTTGCTTATAAACAGGGTGTCGGTCTATAGAAGGCGTGCTTGTTCAGCAGTCATTCAGGTTTAACATGTTCCAACACTACCATAGTCTGACTTCATAGTAGAAAATAAATGGCTTCACCTTCACCAGGCTGAGTATACATGAAGCAGGCATGGCATTAATGTTAGATGATGCAATATATCCTCCTAGGCCAATCTTCCAAATCAACCTGGAGAAGGGGTTGAAGAGAATGGGAGCAGTGAAGCGAACGACGGCCCAGCGCAAGATTTTAGCGATGCTGAAGGGCTTCAAATGAAGTCTCCACAGAAATCCCTTGAACCTGTATGTTTTTTTATGGTAAGTGCAAATTTGAATTCCTACACATCTAGCATGTACCTAAGAGGAAGACAACTCTAATGTGGCTGATGCCAATCTTTCGAGAAGCGTAACAAAGGGCTTTGTGAGTATTCAGAACTTTGAAATATCGAAGCGAATGATGTCATATTTTGTTTATACTTTCGTCGGATAGGGCGGTTCGGCAGTTGTACGAATTTTCAATCTGAGAATGCTCCAGGACACACCATCGTAAAAAAGCAACTGAAACGACTCACAAAAGCCCACACAGAAATCTGGGAACTGTATGCAAATGAAACTTATTTCAACTCGTTTATTTAAAACGGGAAGTCATCCTGTAATTGTAACCAAAGATGGTTGATCTGTAAAATGTTTGAGCCCCCAGAGCCAATACATAATTTGCTGCGGTACGCTGCTGTGAAACCGGTGATGCATGCACGCAGTGCGAGTGCTACAGTGTCAAGGCAGATGTGGCCGACATTATATGGTATTCATATCCCGTGTTATTAGGAGTCTGCGTCTGTTTAATTACAGCAACCGGCATCCTGCCACTTTACAAATTATCTCCTCTCAACTTTTTTGCTCCTTGCTCTCGCACAAAATAGTTATTCGTTTGATATTTAAATGCATTATTATTAGAGGGGGGTGCAACGATTTTATGATCAAGAGAATTTGCATCTCGTCATTTTTACGTTGTTTATCACGTCCCGGAGGATACAGAAAACATCTCCTTCATTAACAATGTTGCGATTCCGCTGCTTAATCGCAAAACAAAAGCCAAGCGTTTCCCCCCCCCCCCCCCCCTGCAGCCGCAAGTTGCAGCCGAAGGAACTACGGCTAGAAGATTACGTGCCCTCGCTCGGCTCCAAGCTGCAGCATAACGCCCGCTAATGTCAGCAGAGAGAGGGAGAGGAAGCGTCCTCCGAGATAGCACACGGGAACCTACACGGCACTCCGAATGACGTCACTAGGAGTGCGACCAGGTGTGATCCTGAAGTCTGGGAGTGAGTTGAGGGGTGCCCGAAATGCCAATAGCTATCTTTTTTTTTTTTTTTTACGCAACAACTAGGACGCGCAGGCGAAATCGGTTTCCTGTTCTTTACTTCAGAAGTGTCAGAGAGCAACCTCCACAAATTTTTGACCGAAGTCCGGAAATCGTTGCACCCCCCTTTAAATAGTAACTTTTAAGCTTTGAAGTAAGTGAAGCCTCATGGTTCTTTCTTTTTGTTTTATAGAGGTTTTTCAAAGCACAAGTCGGCCGGTCTGCCAGCCACCTGCAGCAATGCTTGCACTGCATGATTACTTAGCATGTCCAGTGCCATCTGCTATTTAAGCTGCTCTAACCTGATTAAATTGACAGTCAAACAATCTTGTGTCTTGTTTTTCAGAAAATACAGTCTGCACCTCAGGACGTCGAGCAATATTTGACAATTTAACCACTTGAACCAGTTGAATTACGGAGTCAACTTCGCTTTTTTTATGGTAAGTCACGAGTCTGAGTTCTTACAGATTGAGCATGTCCCTGAGGGGGAGGCAACGCTGATGTAGCTGATGTCACTTTTTCGACAACTGTTGTAGCAATATCAGCCACATCTAACATGTTGCCCCTAAAGCCCCAGTTTGAACAGGTATCAAGCCTTTTTCTAATGCATATTTTAACAGATTATGAGTTAACTTCAAAATGAAACTGCATGGTTTATTCTTGTTTTGTAGAGGTTTTTCAGGGCACAAGTTGGCTGATCTCTTGCAGCCTCCTGCAGCCATGCTTGGACTGCAGGATTACTTTGCATGTCCAGTGCCAACTGCGATTTAAGCTACTCTTACTTGCTTTAACTGGCATTCTGACAGTCTTGTGTACGTCTTGTTCAGAAGATACGAAACGTCGAGCAACGTTTTATGATTTGACTATTTGAACAAGTCGAGTTACGGAGTCAACTTCGCTGGTGTATTTTCATGGTAAGTAAAAAGTGAGTTATTACAGATCGAGCACGACTCTGAGAGGGAGACAACGCTGATCCAGCTGGTGTCACTTCTGACAAGTTTTGTTGTAGTGTCCGTCGCATGTAACATTGTTTTGACCCCAACTGGTGTTACTATTCACTATAGCTAGGTTCAAACCTAATATGCTAAATTCATTTGAGTCTAGCTAGTTACTATAGCTAAATTCAAACATACTAGGTCACCTGCTGCTGGCTTTTTGTAGCCCATGAACTTGCCACGTTTGAATCGCAGGTAGTATTAAGTAGTGACACGTTGCAAGCAACATATTGATGTAACAATTGTTTTCTTGGTAACACTAACTGTCACACGCTGAGTTTGTGGGAAGTAAGTTCTGTATCACGTTATTTTTACTGAATAAAAAAGTAGCAATGTTCTTTTGGAGTTAATTTTCTAATCTTTCTAATTACAGTTGCATTGAGGAGCATGATCTGATGCATACCTTATATCTAGATTGTCATGGATAGACAATGACCAGAAAGATTATGCATTTCGGATTATGAATGACAAGTGCCAATGACAAAGCGCAGCTGGCAATGCAGAGAAAACACTGACAACAGATAAACAAGGAGAATATTTTTTCTCAACTCCCTCCAAAAGTTGTGCTTACAGTGAGGAGCAGTGGTGGAGAAAGGCAACCTCAGAGGCAATGGCTTTGTGTATTGTTGAGGTTTTAACCAGGAACAAATCCTTGTGCATGCAAGCCATTCCACCGAGTGTGCCAGTTGAAAGCTTGTTCAGCGATGGAAATGGATGTGCTTGCCTTCAGTAATGTAAAACTTTTGGATGAAAATTTAGAAAAGCAACTGCTGCTTCAGTATAAGATGTAATAACACTGATACAGGCACTTTGTGCAAAAAAACCTGAGCATGGCCGGTTCCTAGTTTTCCTTGTTTATTTGTGTAATAAAAGAAGTAAAGTAAAATAATGGAATTACCTCTTAGGAGTGACTATTATAGGTTAGTTTTTTCTTAACTAGCTTAATTAGGTAGTCTTTTTATATAAAGTATCTTGCCCAAGGCGACAAATATTGTAAGGGTCCTCTAATTGCATAATTTTTTCGCTTAGTTTATGTCGATGCCTACAAGGTCTTGCTCTAAGATTTGAAATCTGTTTTCTTACATATTCTAACACATTATAAGGTAACCTTTAAGTAAAGGGAACTGCGTGGTTCTTAAGTCTTGTTTGTAGGAATTTCTTGGAGCACAAGTCAGCTGATTTCGGGCAGTCTCCTGTGGCCATTGTACTGCAGGATTACCTTGGATAATTATAGCCAGCTACGATTTAAGCAACTCTCATTTGTATAGATTGTCATTCGTGTTTGTCTTTTTTTTTTCAGGAACTACATTTGGAATTGTACAACGTGGAGCAGTTTTTGACGATTGGTCACTTTGAAAAAGTCATTTTGTGGAGTTGGCTGCACATGTTTTTTGCTGGCAAGTAAATAGTTCAGTTTTTAAACTCTAGCACGTCTGAGAGAAAAGCAAACTTGATGTGACTGACAGCACCCTTCTGAAAACTGTTTGGACAATATACATCACATCTCACCAGGGTTTTTCCCACGGTGGGTGGCAGTGGTTTCGCTGCCCACTAGTCCTGCTAGCTGTCCAATTCTTTGAAAAATGTCTTGTGGTCTTCATGTCTTGGCAGAGAAATCGCTGTGCTCGGCGGACTTCTGTGCCAAGACATGCAGGTACAGGTCCCCACAACCCAAATTAATACGACTTGGTCGAGGTGCACGAAGAGAAAAGATGCGGCTGCTGCCTGTGTCCCCCTCCCCTCCACAGTCATAGCCGGATGTCTATTTGTCCGCAATGTATGGAGAAAAATCTGTGTCTAACATTTATTCTATCCTAACTTTATTCTATCCTAACTTGTACAGCTTCACTAGATCAAAGGCCACAGTTATTAAGGAGGCCTTCCACAAGATTTGCCTTTTCCCCATCTGTGTAGATCCGATATGGTCTCTATAAATTAACTTTATGCGGTTGGCTTCACATATTTATTTCTTGTAGATATAAAATAACTGGTGTATTGAAAGTTTCATGGTGCCTTTTTTTTAATGGGTTGCTTATCTCGGCTTGACCTATTTTCACTTTAAATTCGACAGCATTTGTGGGCGAACCTTTTTGTCACTTTTCACCAGTCGGTTGGTCTGTTTTATGGTTTGTGTGACCGATTTGACTCTAGCACAGGCAACGGCAGAGGCACATGATGATAGCTTGGTTTGTACGAGCGCTCACGCAGAGAGATAGCTTTTAAAATTGTGCATCTGACCCTATGCTTTTGTCAGCTCCAAATCCAACTTGTAAATTGGAGTGTATGGCATGCAGGTACACCAAAATGCATCGTTCGCACACTTTGGAACAGTCTCTTAGAGAAAATTATGAAGAAGGGTCCGCGTTTCAACGGGCAACAAAAGAAATGCGCAGTCAGAATGCGCTGACGAGGTGGCCAAGCAAGCTCCTTGAATGGTAGGCACTTGGGGTAAAGGGAATGGCGAGATCACATTTTGGGGGTAATCAGGTGCACAAAGTGCGGAGCTTGCAAACAGACTTGCATGCCATATATAAATACTCTGTAAATTTTTACCACTCGCTCAACTCAAAAACGTGTGCACAGGTGTGCTCAAACGTGGGTAGGATGGAGCTCCCAAATTGTAAGATTGGGGACTGGGGACTAAGCTTAGTCCCCAGCTTTTGATAGCAGTTTTAGTACACATGCAATCTTTCACCTGCTCAGTTCTGTGAAAACCTTTATGGATATCTAAAGAGAAAATCAAGTTTCTATTGTTCACACACTCTAAGCACTCGTGGCTGACCACCTGATTCTACAACGAGAAAGAGTGCAACTAGCCCTTCGTTCTAATGGGAGATTTTGAGTGGCTACCCAAACTAATGAAAGTCTGGGATATGAGCTTAGCCAGTTTTACATAGACTCTTCTGCAACATCTCATGAACCTTAGAAATAAAGCATTACTCAAACTGGATTGAGTGTTCCGGTTGGTTCATCAGTTCTCAAGAAATGCTTCACATTATGAACCAAATCACTATTGCTATTCCGGCCATGCATTTTTTTCTAAGTTTCGAACGAATTTAGGCTTGGAAGTGTATCGGTTTTGACTAAGGAACAGGAGAACAAGACCCTCAAGTCAAACATTGGTTTTAGATATTGGGTCACAGGATGAACAATTAGAGTCAATGTCCATTTGAGTTTTGTATAAGATTCATGGCTAATAATTAAATGGGCTGAGGGGGGCTGTGTTTTATGCACAAGCTCAATTTGCACATCTTGTTGATGTGATATAGATATTTAATTATTTTTTCTCTGTTTTCTCTTTAGCACATCATGCTACATGCAGCATCTGAAAACAGGCCAAACACAACGGGGGGCTCTACTTTGGCTCTTCAAGGACCCAAATACAGTGTTCGAAGGTACTTTTCTTATTTTCTGATCAATTATTCAGGTGACATTGCATGATTGCTGCAAGCAGCATAGGAAAGCGTACTCAATATTCGTTTAAAGAGATCCTTTTCCATTTCAAAATTCTGTAACTTTTTTTTTATAGAAAACCTGGTTGTATCAGCGTCATAATGAACATTATTTTATGTATAGGGCAGCATCACTAAGGGACTGACTGTTAAATGAACTGGAGAAATCTGCACCTACAAGCATTGAGCTCATATTCTTACCAAAGGTCTATTTTAGCAGTGAACACCATTGTGACATGTAAAGGCACAGCTCCGTCTCAGTGGAATGTGAAAACAGCATTCTCTTTATTTACAAGCATGAGTGCCGACGCAGATGAGTGAAAGTGACGTTTGGTGTTGTCGAGAAGGTGCTTTATATCGCTGTTTAAAAATGGAATGACTGCGGTGGTCAGTCAGACTGCAGATAATGTTTTGTAATCCCACTACCTTCTATAATTGTGCACATTGGTCTGAATGCCAGAACTGACAGAAGAAAAAACAACTGACATCGAGGAAACTTGCTGCAGATGCATTGCTCAGCTGTTTTGCCTGCTTTCCACAACAGGTTGTGGCAGCTGTCGATTGTATACATTGGTGCCCATTGTCAAATTTAAATAATGTAGTTCTATTTTTCTCAGACTGAAGTTGCACCTTAAAAGGTTTCATGGGAATCTGTGTCTCAAAAAGAAAACCTTTGATAAGTTCAGCTTGCTAGATGAAGGCATTAATTCGAGCTCATTTTACAGCCTACCTTTCTATTGACACCGCCCTATGCGGAGAGTAAGTCGTCTGCTTCTTGCACATACATTACGGTGATGTCAGAAGGGTGACGATCTCTCATTGGCTTTGATTGGAAGGATATAGTGGGTAGACCACAATGCTAGACACCACGAGGTCTACCCCCTATTTTTTTTTGTTCAATCAGCCAATAAGAGCTCGGCCTTCTGACATCACCGCAACCCCTGTGCAAGAAGCAGACAAACTTGTGCTCCGCATAGGATTACGAATACTCAAGAGTGCTTTCCGTAATATAAGTTACGGAAAGCCTACTCTGTTTGCCCTTTTACCGACAACTTTTAAGCACTTCTACGGATACTAGAGCGATTTCCGTAATAGGTTTTACGGAATGCATATTCCAGTCCGTTGTTTTACGGACAGCTCTTGAATAGCGTTACGGATAGTAGAGCACTTTCCATAATCTGTTTTGCGGAATGTCCTTTTATTTACGGATTGTGTATGTGTTTAAAAGAATTTTTCCGTTATTAGAATTACGGATGACCTTTCCGGCAGCATAGGTGCCAGAGAATTTCTCCGTAAAAGAGGGCAAATTTTTTTACAGATGGGCTATGCATTACCGCTATGTCGCAGCTCATTATTATTGTTTCATGAAGAGCGCAGACAAAAAGCATCTGTGAGCATAGTTCAGATATGTCTGCTGCTCGTGTTCATCCGTGAAAGCCAGGGCTGCCTGTCGTAGCATACATGCTTGCTCTCTAGCTTCAGCTGAGTCGCATACGTTTTGTGAATTAAAGTATACGGTCGTCCCGAAAGGTTCAGACATCGAGGGCGTTTCTCTGAAACATGCTTTGGGTGCACGTGGGCCCGTTTGTGAAGGAATGTCCCTGTTGCCTAAAAAACACAAATTTCAAAAGTGAAAGAAAAAAAAACAAGAAATAAGGACTGGTACACACTTATTCCCTTGTTCGAATTCAATATGAGCAGCTGTCACCATTGCTGAGAAACCCTCAGCACCGGCATTAGGTTCCAAGTTGTTATAGCATTTTTGACTTCTGCATTGGAAACGACACAATAACATTGGTAAAATGTTTGCTCCAAAAGTGAGAATGTCTGCCCCAAAACCAGTTTTTGACTGCTACAAGAGCTCCAAATCACCATTTGTCAGTTCCACCATTGCAGTTACCACTTGCTTTAACTTAATTTATTCTAACAGTGCTGTTTGTTTTACCTTTTCAGATCGAGCATCGCTCAAGGCAGGCGTTTTCTGTGACCTAATAAAGATACAACAGGTTTGATTTTGCATTTTACTTGTCATTTTATTGGCTGTTCTCCTTGAAGTTAACTTGCAGTGATCCTATGGCAGTCGAAAGTATGTTATAGTTTCTCTGGCAACGCTGCAATCTGGTTAGCCTATCCTATCAGCTCAGCAGTGATCATAATCACACCTTCCATCAAATATGTTCCATCAAAGACCACCACAATACGTTCCATCAAAGACCACCACAATACGTTCCATCAAAGACCACCACAGTACGTTCCATCAAAGACCACCACATACGTAATTTGGGACATTCCATCAGTGGCAGTCAGACGTCATCTGATGGACCATCAGGGCACGTTCCACCAGGGATGCTGACTGGCAGTCAGTGTCCCAAATTACGTACCTTGATGGAATTTTCAATAGGGTGGCTTTGTGTATTGTTGAGGTTTTAACCAGGAACAAATCCTTGTGCATGCAAGCCATTCCACCGAGTGTGCCAGTTGAAAGCTTGTTCAGCGATGGAAATGGATGTGCTTGCCTTCAGTAAAGTAAAACTTTTGGATGAAAATTTAGAAAAGCAACTGCTGCTTTAGTATAAGATGTAATAACACTGATACAGGCACTTTGTGCAAAAAACCTGAGCATAGCCGGTTCCTAGTTTTCCTTGTTTATTTGTTTAATAAAAGAAGTAAATTAAATAATTGACTTACCTCTTAGGAGTAACTGTTATAGGTTACCTTTTTCTTAACTAGCTTAATAAGGTAGTCTTTTTAAATAAAGCATCTTGCCCAAGGCGACAAATGTTGTAAGGGTCCTCTAATTGCATAATTTTTTCGCTTAGTTTATGTCGATGCCTAAAAGGTCTTGCTCTAAGATTTGAAATCTGTTTTCTTATATA